CACAGTGGAATGAATAACTAAACCTGTAAACACTTTCATTTGGGTTTTCTTGCTTTCCATTAGGAAATGATCTCCATGGTATCACTGTCATAATCCCCTAGAATTAGCACTTTAATTTAACATTTTTTGATTAGCATTCTTCCAATCAAAAAAGTTATCACAAATCGTGAAAGTAATACAAATTATTATAAGTATTTCAAAAATAATAAAAAACTGAATGCTAATAAAACATTTCAAAAATTCAAAATTGAGCAAAACTATGGAAAGAATCAACCGACTCTTATATCACTATAATACTGCAACAAATCCATAACAACTTGTGAGACACTGTAAATATAAAAAAAGAAATGAGTAACACCTTGACTTGTCCATATTTCGATGAACTCGAAGAGCTGAAGCCAATCTATGTACCTGAAATCAAAGTCTATTTTCAGTAATGCTGCTGCAAATTTTTTTCTTACGAAAAAAAACTGCGATTTTCTTTCACGAACGCCAGATTTAATGCATGCAAAATGATTTAAAAACATAAAAGTGTAAAAATAGTTTACACTTATCACTTTTTAAATATAATTATTTTAAGTAAACAATTACAAATTTAATTTATCAAGTAATACATATTCACATAGTTTTGCTAAATGCATTTTGTTACTCGCAATCATAAAGCCAATGTTGTGAAGTACAAAACGAAGATTGAAGATGTTATTCCGCTTTATTAAAAAAACAACTGAATTAAATTCTGTCATAAGCAACATTACAACATTCGTATTAATAACTGCTATAATTAACGTAACAACATTCATATTTTCTATATTTTCGTTGTACAAAAATCTGATTTTAGGTTAGATTAAATCTAAACTCGGTATTGATGAAAATTTTGTATTGCTTACAATTGCTGAAATTAAGCTTAAAACAACAAACTTTTTCAAGACAAGGCTCAGTGTCCTTATTTTGATTTTCAAAAATAATTCATAATTAAACTAACCAATACAATGGCTGAATACACACAGCAAAATGGATCTTTTCAATGTAATGCGTCGGTTCTAAATTCAATCCAATAGAACGATCGTCAATACGGAGCTGAAAAGGAAAGCATTTTATGTAAAGACAACATTTTCAGCACTTTATTCATAAATTAGACAATTAGTCTCATAACTTTAAGAAAACTTAACAGCTTTAAAATACTCTCAAAAAATTTTAACTTATTTGCAAAATTTGAAAATTATAAAGTGGATAACAATAACGATTAACATAATTTGGATAGGCTGAATCTTTGGCAGAACTTTGAACTTTTTAAAGTTTATATTTCACTACGATAAAATAAATGCTCATAAAATATATAAAGTATGTGCAAAAAATTTTTTATTGCTCAGAAAAATGTTTATAAAACTGAACTAAATGACTGGTGCAACTAATATTTATCAGTTTTTTGGCAACACAAAAGTACTTTGTTGGTAGATAAAGTATTTTTTTTTCAGTTTCTTAACAACGAAATGAAAAACCTACGAGAGTATGACTGGGGATGAAATCCAACTTTGCAGTTGCGATAAACGATGACCAAGCACATCCAATAGCCCACTCCCATGGGCAGTGATCACTTTCAATATGCGTGATTTCTGGGCATAAAACGTGTTTGTGATCAAGCTGAGCCAAAAAAGTTTCAAATCAATTGAATACGAAAATAAAATAATTACGAGTAATATGTATTTGACTTGAATAGAAAACAAAGAGTTTGCTTTCTTTAACGACTAACTTTTCAACTAATATATTCCGAAAAGTTAATCGTTAAGAAAAGCGAGCTTTTGTAATAAAGTCATCTCTTCACTATGTTTTATTTCTTGTAAGAAAATAATGCTTAAAAAAGTATTGAAGGAAAATTCATTTTTGTAAAAAAGAGGTGACATTGTGGAAGAAATCTCCGTGAAGGATACGGGGAAGCACTTGGCCAGTGTATAACAGTTCTAGAAGAGTACAACAAGAGTGCTGGATAACACGACCCAACGCAAGAATCAAGAAAACAAAAAAGAAGATAACCCCCGAACTGCTCGACATGATATCAGCAATTTAAATATACATGAACATCCTCTTTGCATTTATTCTCCACCTCTCAGACTTCTGATATCCTGATTGGCAACTCAGCATCCTTCGTTTAGGCTTCAAACTCTTTTTGCAACAATCTTTTCTTCCTCTCTATTCGTCCCATGCGTGTCATTCTTCCTTACCTTCTTCCTTTATCTCGTAGTCGTTGCTTCAGAAGTACTGCAAGAAGGGAACTGCATGAGCGTTATCTTTATGGTTCATTACTTCTTTTCGCCTCTTGGAAGTCGCCTGTGAAGTGGAAGGTTCTTCAGAAACGCGTTCAGCCATTAGATAACTGATCCGATTCAGAGTTGGAACGTTCTCTTGTTATTATTGCCATTACCACTGCCAATATTATTACGTTTTGTATAATATATATATATGTAGGTCAAGTTGCAACTGATCGTACTAGTATTTCCGCCATTTACTTCCATAGCCGAATCATGACTTCACCATATAGATAAAGGTAGAGCAGAGAATATAATAGAAACTAGAAATAACGAAGAAATAATGTTTCTTTCAAGAGCAGGCACAGTTTATTGCCCACTATTACCTCAAACTTGGGTGATACAACCTATATATGTATATATATAGGTCAAGTTATGAATCACTCTACTCTTCTCACGTCACCTTAACTGTTTGAACCGTGAAAAATGCTTTTCCGATTATCAAAATGGTTAATAATCTGAACATGATTCTGAACTCTGGAGGTGACAAAGAAGTACTTACTTCTAGTCGCAAATCACTCACGTTCGTTTCGCATTTTTTCAATAATAATATCTTTAGATACATTTTACCAAAACTTTGCTGCAGAACCACTGATCGTATTATGATCAGTGATTCGCTAGTAAGCTGCGGAGTTTCGAATTTTTTGAACTTACGAGTATGAAATGGAGGTGACGAAGTACTTACTTCTAGTCGCAAATCACTCACGTTCGTTTCGCATTTT